CAGACAGCAACACACAGACACACAGACACACACACACAGAGAGACACAGACACAGTAATCCAGTAAGCATTTGGGACAGATTAGATAAAATGTCATTGCGGGACACCCACTTGAGCTTTAAACATTTTACTTAGAAAGGCACAAACTATGATTTCCTGGTAAATTATTTTGATGTAAGAAATAAAAATCGAAAGACATATCTTTTTTTTTTCTTCATGTAAATCGACAACATTGTTCGGCCATAACTCAGATATAAGCGTTGTGAAGGACTCTTCCTAGATCAGTCTTTATTAAGTTGTTTTCTTAATTGTTAATTTCAAACCTAAAAGTTTTCCACTGTAATTGTTTTATTTTTTTTTTCCAAAAGTGCAATAATAATAAGAGAGCTTAATATCTGTTTCTCTCAATCTTCCACAGTACCTGAGGCCAGTGACTGTGCTACAAAGTCCACGTTGACAGACAAAAAAAAAATAAAAAGAAAGCCAGAGTGAGGAAAAGAATTGAACTCCAGAACACTACAACATAAAAATAAGTTTTCAATGCAGGGATTTGACTTCAAAAACTGAGGATTCAATTACAAAAAAAAAAACATTAAAATCCTCCATCGAAATTCTGTTTTATAGATGAAATGCTTCCTGTGTCTCTCAGATTTAACATCAGCATAGTTCACCTTTTTTCCTCTTTACCTTGATCCCAAAACACACACCAAAAAAAAAAGGATGAAAAGAAAGAAGAAGAGAAAAAAAACAATTTCAGATGAGCAGATTTCTTTCACTCGAACGGTTCCCCCTGATCAACAGATGACTGTTGGAACAATATGCGTTCTTTATGGAATCTAGAATACAACAACTGTTTCAAACAGTATTTTTTCATATTCACGCCACGTTATTCGAGTTTCATTGTTACAGCTTTTTTTTACTTTTTCTCAAGCCCCCCCTCCCCTCCCCCGTTGTAATGCAGGTAACGTTTTATTTTTCGTAGAAGGAATCAAGAGTCTGTTGTGGAGTCAGTAGGACTGCAACATTCCTTTAGCTCGCCAGTAGCCGGGGAGCGCTGAGAACGAGAAAGAGAGAGCGCGAGGGGGGTTGGGAGGGTGAGGGAGGAGGTACAGAGTGACAGGGGAACTAAGTTGAGAGGGATAAAGAGGTGAAGGGGGGGGGAGCTGGAAAGAGATAAGGGACAGGGGGTCTGTGTAGTTGCTTCCATTTAAAACTTGACAGTGACCACAATGTTTTCAAGTTCTCTCCGTTCTCTTCTTTCACTTGTGCCTCTGGAGGGCTTTCCTCTTTCTCCTTTTGAAGAAACAACAGCACCTGCGGGAGAACAGAGGAACACTTCAGATTTGGAGACGCACATCTATACGAATGAGATATTGGTACAGCTTGACGTGCCGCCTGTTCGGGTTGGGTTTCAATAGCTGGTTCAGTTTTGGATCTGGTTTGATAAAGCAGCAAAAGGGGCAACAGGTCGGAGTCCGTATCATCATTATGACATTAATTCTGTTAAATAATTCTGTCCGACTAAAATGGAAAGTGGCTACTTTGTGTTAAAACAGATAACTACTGTCTGTAAAATTTAGATTAGGAAACGTAACTTAGCAACGCCTTCTATCATTATGATGGTTAAACTAAGTAAGTACTGCTTTCAATAAGGACAGAAAGCGGCTCACTACAGTGCGTGTAAAGGTATTCTCTGATTACCTGCATAACCTGGTCTCACTGAGAAGTTTCCTGAAGGTATGTACTGATTAAGATCACCTGAGTTGTACTAGCAAATTATAAAAGAGTGCAAAAGGTTTCAGATTTGGATTTGGACTCAATAAAATGCTATTGAACCCCAGCCCTACTGCTAGTAGCACCAACTTCTATGCATCTGGACAGCTGTTTCGTACTTGGTTTCGTCGGCCACTTCAACCTCGGTGGGAGCGGTGATGGGAGCGTTGGAGTGTCCGGCTGTGGGATCATCAGTGTTTAGCTCGCCATTCGTTGAGCTCATCACCTGCACGTGTACAAAAATAAAGGACACCAGACTGCTCACACACACATACACATCGAGCCAATGATTGCAGGGTGGAGATGAACATTCACATAAAAATATGTAACCTTGATTATCTCCCTTAATCTGCCCTCTCAGAAAAGGAGAGCAGTTCAGCATGTAACCTGGAATGCCCCTTTAAAAAGGATAAGTTCACATTTTTTTTATTTCTGTCTTTAAACAAGTCAGGTGTCCATATAGACATTGAAACAGGTTTTGCTTCCTTTAATCGGTCCTTGTGTTTGTGCTGCCTATTAAAGTAGTTTACTAATGCACTTTCAATGTTAGCGATGGGGGGGCGACATACAAAGTCCTTGATCTGTGCAAATATACTGATCCCACGTTCAACTCAAGCTAGAATGAGGTTTCAGCAGTTTGAAAGATAATCTCTTGATGTGTCAAAGTTAAAGTATTTTTAGCACAAAATTCTGCCATTTGTGTCACATCCTTCCACTGTAGCTCAGCACGGAAACAGTGTCTGTGGAAACAAAGTGAGACTTTCATACTGAAAACACTGACTCAAGGTAGCTTCAGATAAACTTTGGAATATATGTTTGCACAGACTGAACACTATACATTTTGTCCTCCCAGTTCTTCTTCTACTGGAAGCAAATTAGAGCAGGAAAAATTATAACAGCTAAATAAACAAACCTATTTTGACGTACACATGGGCATGTGAGTGCTATTTTAAGAGGAGTTGAAAAATGTTGCAGTTCCATTAACCAACACTAGGTGGCATATTTGTGCCACATTTACTATGGAGACCTAATGAATATATGGAAAACAAGATTACAGTTTAGATTGCTTTACCATATTTTTATTAATGACAAAAATCTAATGTGGCGCCTGTGTGTATTGCTTCATGTGTTTCTCTAACGATTTAAGAGTCTTTATTTCATGGGGTTTGCTGTTGGATGTCATCTTTGCATGGCCCTTCCTGTGGGCTGCCTATAGCAGATGAGGCGAATGAAGCATTGAGAGCTAACAGAACAGGCAAAGCACTGACACACAGGGAGTCACACAGTCTGATGCAGACACACACACACAC